AGGCTGCAGTTGCTTCTTTTTCTGGCATTTCCCACGGAGTTAGCCAAGGCTGAAGTTAGCCACTGAAATGTCATGTCGTTTTGACATGGACTGATGTCTTCTCCCTGCACGTTTGTTTTTTCAAACTCATCACAGGACTCCACCCTGGTCTTTGCTTAGTTTGTCTGGCCCCCTGAGGTCATTTTGAATCCTGATTCTCTCAGCCCCCTTCTCTGTTCAGCTCTTTGATAATCCCCAACTGCTCTGGATTTGAGACTTTAATAAATATATAGGACAGGATGGGGCTGAAGACAGCAAATGATCCATAGTCAGCGCCCCTTGCCTAAGTCATCTGCCGGTTTCCACACCCGCCTCCCAGCCCCACAGCCGCCAGAGCCTTCCAGGTGCCTGGTTTAAATTCAAACTCACCATGCTTCTCTCCCTGGCGATGGCCGGCCGGGCCATGACAGAGCACAGAATATAGGAACCAGGGGAGCAGCCCTCTTTTCCCCTCCATCTTTCTTCCCTTCCAGCCTCCTTTCCACTCTCTGATGGCAGGAAGCCCAGAGCTCTGATCGCTTGCCCTCTTGTGTGCTCTGAAGGGAGAATGGCTTTGTCATTGCACTAATGATGATCCTGGGCGTTTATGTTACAAAAGCTTCCAAAGCACCTTCACATTTACTACCCCGTTTTATGTAAAAGCACGATGGCAGCTCAGAGGGTGACTTGCCCATAGTCAGAGAAGAAGTCCGTGGCAAGGCCAGGGCTGGAACGTGGTGCCAACTCGCCGTTCAGAGCTCAGGGGAGCAGGGCGGTGGCTGGAAGGGGCGAGCGGTGGCATTCTTTGGCATCTCTGGACCAGGCAGAAAAGAGAATCAAGCTGAAACCCAACAGACAGTCTGGAGACGACTACAGAGCGCCTGGCCAGTCTCTGAAAGTTCTGCAGACCATTGTGACATTGGCCTTTGGGCCTGAATTTTCCTAGGAGAAAACTAGAAAATTTTTTAAAATCCCATCTAACTTTAACAATTCCAAAAATCTCTAATCTAAACCAGGCTCTATCCCCCTCACTCTCCTTTCCAACTTAACTAGAAAATGTGGGTGGATTGAGAAGGAAAAGAAAAGAAAGATCAAAACTGTGACAACCCTCTGACAACATTTTAAGTTGAAAATTGCCTGCAAGAGGATGGCATAATTCTGTGTAGGCAGATGCAAATCGGGCGCACATTTACTCAGCTCCTGCTCGCTCGTGTCTCCTCACAAACACCCTGAAGGGACGGCCCCGCGGCTGACCGCTGGCCTGTGAAAGGCTGACGCGACTTCACCCCCCAGTTGTCTGAGAGCTGCTCCTCCTCCGCCCTCCCAGAGCCTGCATCCCGCTCACGGCCCTCACCTCCCATTGCACCCAAGACAGGCTGCATCCGGCTGAATTTCCTTGGTTGGTTGTTGGCGCCCTGTGGCCCCTGCCCCCTGAGGCTCAGCGTTCATGAGCAGGTGCTCAGTGAGTGGCTGAGAGAAGACGGAGAGTCAGGAGAAGGGGCTCAAGTTCCAGCCTGCTCCGTCCAGACCGAGTCCTCTCTGAGAGCTTACAGGTTGTGAGGGGCCAGTCCAGATGGCTGAGCCTGCAAAATGACACACACACACACACAAATGCTTTCCCGGGCAAGGTGAAGAGATGTGAACGGTTCCATGCAAAGCCTTTCCCATTGGTAAGGGAAAATCCCTCCCTTAGAGGACACTGGGTCAGCCACACCTGTCACCTGCCCAGCTTTGTGCTGCAGGTGCTCCAGCCTGGCCTCTCCCCATGCCAAGCCCCTCTCCAAGCCTGACTCGGGGGAGAACCGGGGTCTGGTCAGAAGCTCTGCTGAGCTGCTCTTTTCTCCTCTGGCAAAAGAGACGGTCAGGGCCGAGCACGAGAAAGCTGCCTTCCACACCCAGGCTCTGTGATCTATGTCCATCCCTCTCCTTCGAGGCTGTTGAGTTACCTGACATTCTCCTGCCCCCCACCGGCTCGGCAGCCTGACGGGCTGTCCCCACAGTGAGAGTTACCCCTAATGATGAGTGCGGGGCGCCTCAGGACAGAGGAGGGGTAGGTGTGGGGAGGACGGAGAGGTGGTGATCTGACACTCTTAGAGAGCATTCTCCACTTTTCAGAGACGATAAGGGCCTGGGAGGGAGTGACTTGCCTCACAGCAGACCCCAGGTCTCCCTGAGTTCTTTCCCCTGTGAGGTAACCTCCCCCATCAGCCAAGGGGTGTCACCCGCCACACTCAGGCAGCACTTGGGCCCAGCACAGGAGCTCAGGGGGAGAGTGTGCACCATGGCGAGAATCCACAGGAGTGGTCATGCCAGGGGACTGCATGGCATGGCAGGATAGGAGAGTTCCAGGCACAGGGTGCCATCCTGACACGCCTTTCCAGCCCCAGAAGTGGTGGCAGGCTGCACACAGCCATTCCCATTCCCCGAGCAGTCGGCTTCCGTGAGCCCCCAGGTTCCTGTTTCCCCAGCACAGCTGAAAAGCAGGCCAGCGTTCCAGCTCTGGGATGCTGAGTCCCAGCCCCCAGATCCGGAGGCGTCAGCCTCTCGTTTCCTGTGACTCCCCAGGCTGCCCCTCATTCCTGCCCTGCCATGTTCGTCTCCAGAGCTTATCCCCTGGTCAGCGCGCATAGAACTGAGGCTGTACCTGCTCCCCGGGCAGGCTCCCGGGAGCCAGGGCATTTTGCGTGAGGCCTCGCAGAGCAAAGGGCCGTAATACAAATGGGTTTGTATTTACACCCATGTTTGTACAAGTAGGGTTTCAAGAGAGCCGGTGAGTGGAGGAGGAGGAAGGGAGCCTTCCAGAGGGCCTGTCTCTCCTGGCGGCTAGTGATGAGCCAGGACCCAGCCTGAGCCAGGCCTCTGCTCACAGGCCTCCCTGGGGCCTGGCTACCTGCCATGGAGAGGGGCTGGGGCCACTACCAGGATAGGTTCTGTGATGGGACCTTCATGCTCAGGACAGGCCTGAATGAGGCATGCCATCCACCCCCAGGCTTTGGGGACGAGCAAGGAGAGGGCGGAGGGGCCCTTGGACAGAGCTGTAGGTCTCGGGGCAGCCCTGGTGGTGTCCCCCGCAGCTTGGCCCAGGGCAGACACGTGTCTGCACCTCACAGGGCTGGGCCAGTCTTCACGTCTCCCTGATGCTGCTTCTGTGGGCACCTCCTCCTACTGAGGTGGGCTTTGCCCCTTAAAGTTGGGGAGCGACACTGCGCCGTCCCTGTCTGTGCACGTGGCTCACACTCGAGGCCTGGCTCACAGTGGGAGCCCTCAGGTGGTGGAGTGGAGACGAGACACCACAGTCACATCGGCCTGTGCTCCAGAGCCGGCCCAGGGGCTGGCCTTGAGAGGGGTCGGGGCTCTGTTGTACCTGAAGCCTTTCCTGAGCCCCCGGCCCTGTCCCTCCCCCGTCCCAAAGCCTGGCCCCACACCGCCCAGCACCCAAAGCTGGGCTCCCAAGAGGCCTCAGAAAAGGCTGGAGGACGATGCTTCTTCCTTCTCTACCTTTGCGGTTCTCTTTCCGGCCTCTCCCCACCCACTGGTCGTGAGCCCCGACAGCATTTGTGCTCCTGGCCTCCTCAGCACAACCCAGGCCATCATTCTGCCCTCGGCCCACAGCCAGCACTGCCCAGAGCAAGCAGGAGGGAGGAGGAAGCTGGTGCGGACACGGGGGCCGTGCATTTATTTCAGTGGTTCTCCGCCCTGGCCGTCCCGTACCCTGCGGGAGTACTGCTGCCTGGGCCCACCCAGGGTCCCTGGAGCACAGGCACAGGCTTTGGGGCTTCCCAAAGCATCCTGGGTGTCTCTTCCATACAGCAGTCTGCAGGCCTGTGGCTGATGTAACAGGAAAATACAGCTGAAACAGCCCTGTGTCGGTCTGGGGACGCTCACGTATGCATCTATGCAGTAAAAGTATAAAGACTTGTTGTGGAGCAAAATGAAGTCCAGGAAAGCACTCATTTCCAGGTGCAGGGAGCAGGGTGACAACATGGGGAGGGGTCAGAGACGTCCGCTGTGGTTGTAATGTTTCATTTCTTGGGCAGAGTAGTGGAAACATGGTATCGTTCTATACTTTTCGGTTTAGGTTGAATTAGTTCATCATAAGGTAATGGAAAAAAAGATCATGGATTTTGCAGTCAGACAGACCTGGGTTTTAAGTTCACCTCCGCCACTTACTAGCTGTGTGACCTGGGCCAAGTATTTAACCTCTCTGTTCAAGAGAGGTTATTTAGTCTCTCTGTTGTTCAGTCATCTGTACAATGGGGCTCATGAAGCTCTAACACCCCTGCCCCAGCCCCGCCTGAGTGTGCCTGTGAGACTCGAGACCAGATTGGCCCTCAGACTGGGGCAGGGCGCTGACCTCCCCCTGGGCCTCAAACTCCTCCATCACAGAAAGATGGCAGCACCTGTCAGGCAGGGCCCCAGGGGCAGGCGTCAGAGCAGGAAACTCCCTTCCTCGCAGGTTTCTTGTTGGGAGTAGGAGGTGAGTGACTCCGGGGGAAGGCAGTTTAGCCCCCCCTCAATGTGTTTCTAGATCCTTCTGTGGTTTGTCCACCCTAGGGGTGGAGCAGGGTGGTGGGAGGGTGGGGCGCAGCTCTGAGAAAGTAACAGACAAAGAGATCTTCCTCAGAGGACATTGGAAGGTCATGAGGGAGGGAGGAGCCTGGTCCCCAGGCCGAGGGAATGTCCGAGCTGCAGGGGTCAGGGCCTCTGGAGGGAGGCTGGCCGGGAGAGGGCCCACTCCTCCCATAGCCCCTTCGCACAGGGACGCAGGTCTGGGGCTCTGCCTGGGTATCTGGATTCTGGTGCAAGCAGGCGGCCTGTGCCCTTGGAGGATGGGAACCGGGGGAGGCCCCGCCCCCTGGGCAGGCAGGGTGTCTGCCTGCCTGCACGTGTGCACACGCTTTCTCACACATGCCACACACACTTATATATGTGTGCCAGGCCTGGCTACGGAGTAGGGAAAGGAATTCAGACACCACTCTCGGTGGACAAGCTTAAAACACAATGTGGCTCATTTTTATTGTATCTCAGAAAAAAACATTCCCCTCAGAAGGAAAGGCAGTCAGCTAGAGCCTCCACTTGGGCAGCTCTGAGCCGCCCAGGCACACCCCATGCCAGCCAGCCCCAACCTGCTCCCTGAGCCCGCACTCTGGCACCGCTCCATTACAACTTCCTGTCACCAAGCCCAGCTTTGTCACCCCAAGAGGTGGCCTCAGGACTGACGGGTGAGAAGCACATGGCAGCTCACGGCAGCCGGAGAGGGCTGCCTGGGACTCCCTGGCCACTCCTGGTGCCAGGTTAGCAGCAGGACTGACAACAGACCCAGCAGCCAGGGAGGGAAGATAATACAATAAAAAGGATTTCCTCGCGCTTACATTTTCTCCTGGTCAAAAATAGTCAAATGCCACCTCTGGACACAGCAGCTCCCGAACCTGGGAAAGTCTGGGGAGGGTGGTGCGTGTGTGGCGGGGGGCCTTCGGGGCCACTCCCCAGCCTCAGGGCCGGCCAGCCTGCTCCGCCACGGCTGCTCTGCAGAGACCAGGGGGCACTTCTACGTGCTGCTGGAGTCGGGGACCGGGCCTACCCAGCCAAGATGCCCTGGTGCCGCGGCCCTGGCCTCGTGCAGGCCCTCCCAGCATGATGCGTCCACCTCCTTGGATGCCAGACCTTCCTGCTGGACCTCATGCTGCTCCAGCCGGGGCTCCCTTCTCTCAGTCCGCGGCAGGAACTGGCCTCGAGAAGAGTCTCCCGGCACATGCACTCATCTCCCAACGTGAGCGGTTCCTCCAACCAGAAAGAGAAAGGCCCCCTTCCCTTAGGAAGGGGCAGACACGGGGAGTCGTCAGGACACTCCCGCTCCGTCTTGGGCCAGGGGCCCCTCGAGGCCAGGGGACTCTGGGCTCGCCCCATGGAGCTCGTGGCTGAGGAGTTCCACATCTGGGAGGCCTGTGTCTCCAGGGGACTCGCGGGCACTCGCCCGACTCACCAGCCCCAGGGCATAGCCATTGGGCCGCCGCTCAGGATGGGGGGCGCTGCCATTGGGGCACACCCCAGAAGGGTGGCCGTTGAGGCGGAGGCTGACCTGCTCTGCATCGCTGCCATGAGCTGCCAAGGCCCGGGCACTGGTGCCCCCTGCCTTGAAGGGCTCCTGCCGCCTCAGGATGTGACTGCGAATGATCTTGTGGAAGGTGTGGCGGAACTCGCGGATGCGGTAGGCGTAGATGAAGGGGTTCACGACGGAATTGAAGTGGGAGAGGATGATGGCCGGGTACATGAGCCAGAGCGGGGCGTGCGGGCACTCGGGGCAGAAGAAGGTGAAGCAGTTGATGATGTGCAGGGGCAGCCAGCAGAGGGCGAAGAGCCCCACGATGATGGCCAGCGACTTGGCGGCGTGGACCTCCTTCTGCAGCGTGGACCGAGCCCGCTCCCCCGGCAGAGGCTGGGTCTCCATCTGCTTCAGCTGTCGCCGCGCCGCCAGGAAGATGCGCAAGTAGACGCCCAGCATGAGCAGCAGGGGCACCAGAACGCAAGCAAAGAAGTTGTAGTACACCATGTAGTTCATGGGGACCACGTCCTCAAAGAGGCAGGCCACCTGGCCCTCGCCGCAGCCCTGCGACTGGTTCTCGCCCTCCCCCCAGTGATGGCAGTTGTTCCAGCCCAGCATGGGCGTCAGGCCGATGGCGAACGACAGCACCCAGCAGACTGCAATGACGCCCTTGGCCCTCGTGCCGGTCACCAAGCCATTGTATCTGGGGAGAGGAGACCAGCATCAGAGGCCTGAGAAACCAGGGCCAGGCAGGGCCCAGAGTAAGAAACCCAGCGTGGCACTCCGGCCCCCAGTGACTGGGGCTAAGGGCCTGGACCAGTCACTTCCTACCTCCCAGCCTCAGCATCCTCTCTGTTCAGTGCACATCCCAGCCTCGCCTTTTCTCACAGGAGGTGACAGGAGAGCAGGCACCCTGGAGAGGGGAACCACTGCACAGACATTCAGACGATTAATACTAGTATTACCATTAGTCCTGGAACTTAATTAGTTTGGTTTGAGGGAATTAATGAGTGATTTTCTTTCGGGGGAAGTTATCACCTCCGTGTTGCTCTTAGCTGATGCTGGAACAGGTTCCCCTTCAGAGGGGGACTGGGTCGGGGGACGGAACCAGCCAGATCAGACCTGTCGGTGGTTCTCGTGTCTTATGCTCCGTGCTCTTCCTTCCCCACTGGACCTGGGCCCCGGGGCAGGGCTTTCCTGCATCCCTCTCTGCCCTGAGGCATGGACGTACAGTGGATGCCAAGAAAAAACATGCTTTACTTAATTCCAGAATTGGAAGCACCCATAGAAACGATCTAGTCCGTGGGTGACAAACCCAGGGGCCTACAGCTGGCAAACGTGCGAGGCAGGCTGGCAGGGCGCCTCCTCTGTGCGGGGGCCGCTGGCGCCCTCAGCCCCTGGCCTCCGGGCAAGACGTGCACCTGGCGCTGCTGGGCTCCAGCAGGGGCTGGGGAGCGGATTTTCTCCATAAAATCTCCCCTGGTTTCAGTGTTGCCGACTAATTCAAATAAAGAAAACAACAACAAACTTGTGGCCTCTGACCCCTTATCTAGTCTAACCCCCTCATTTTATAGGTGGGGAAACTGAGGCCCAAAGACAGGAAGAGACTTGCTGTAGATGTTCCAGGAGCCCAGAGGCAACTCGGGCCAAGTAGGTCTGTCAGTTCCGAATCTCCATCGACCCTGAATCCCAACAGCGACGGGCAGGCCCTTCCCAGGAGCTCCGCGTGCGCTCCGTGGTGCGGGCGCCTGCAGCAGCACTGGCAGGAAGCGGGTCCTGCACTCACCCATCTCTGCCAGGCCGCAGGCACGCCCGTCTGCCTATCCTGGAGCCCCAAATGCCAAGGCACAGGCTTTGGGTTTTTTCCCCATTTACTACTTACATGGCGCTGGCTCTGCACAGGCACTGTTTCTAGTGCTTTACATGTAGTGATTTATGTAATCTCATTGAACGGGAGGCTATTTCAATGTTGATATTTTTCCTGAGAAAAGTATATCCCTGCCTGGGTTCTAGGGCTGGTCTGTTCCTGTTTAGCCATATTCTGTCACTCTGCCTCTCTGAGCCTCAGTTTCCTCATTTGCAAAATGGGACTAAGACTCCGGGGCCTGTGAGCACTGCTCCACGAGGGCAGAACGTAGAATCCGTGGGTGGGAACAACAGGGAGGCAGACTGTGGCTCAGGGTAAGAAAGAGTTTCTCAGCTGAGCTGTTCACAGCACAAATGGGCTGCCACAGGTAGTGGTGAGCTTCCCGTCATTTGAGGCAATCAAGCAGAAGCAAGCAGTTATAGGCACTGTATATACCCAGTGTGTAGAGGACACTGGAGGCCACCTGCTTTGGGGCTTTTCAAATTGTTCTCCAGCAGCAGCCCCTCCCACCTGCATTCCCAGGCAATCAGGGGAGTGGCAGTGTGGGGAAGAGACGGGCTCAGTGATATGCACTCAATGAACGAGGTGGTGGGGACGTCAGGGCCTGGCCTGAGGGCTTCTGGGGACACGGTCTGAAAATCCCTGGCCTGTCCAATTGTCTGCTTTTACAGACACGGAAACCCAGGAGGGAGAGGCTGCCACTGCATTCTGAAAAGACAGCCCCTTGTGGAGACAGAAACAAACACACATTAAGAGCTCTGGCCTGTGTGTGCAAAGAACCTCTCTGGAAGGATTCCCAACACCGCCCTTCAGCAAGGGAGCTGGAGGTGGGGCAGGCGGGAACGGGGACAATTCTTCACCGTATACCCTTTTGTTCTTTTTTGATGTTTTAGTATGTACAGGCATTACTTATTAAAAAAAAAAAAAACAGATTACTTTTGTTATTCAGGAGAAAACCCTGTGGGCTGAGGGCCCTGGACCCAGGCCCCTGGGGGGCTGGAACAGCATTAGGGCCCAAATGGAACCACAGCCGAGCCGCAGCCTGGCCCAGCATCATCCCCGAGGCTGCCTCGGCCACTCAGACAGCCATATATATCTTGGCCTCCTGGGCTCCAGATGCAGGCTGTCCGGTGGAAGGGTGCTGAGGCTGCCCAGCACCGCTCCGCCATTCCAGGGAGCCCAGAGGCGTCAGAGGAAGCGGCTGCCACATCTGGAAGTGCCTCTGCACGCCTGTGTCCTCCGCTCACAGACTCGGGCTGCCCCTTCCTGGGGGTTCACCCATGTTGGGGGCTCGTCCTATGATCCAAGAATACCCCCCACAATTCCAGGTGGGGCTTCCTGTGCATCTCCTCCTACACCGACGAGAAGGCGGAGCTTTCCCAGCTGTCCAAAGGAGCCATGACCCAAGAATTAGAGAGCCACTGACCCGCGACTGAAACCCAAACTCCCAGGCACGGGCAGGCCTGAGCCAGCCTCACACCCTGCCTCCCACCTGTCCGTCCCTCTCTGTCCTCTCTCCCTGGCCCAGAGCCCACATGCTTTTCCATGAGGCCTTTGCTCAGGCTTGGTCCTTTCCTGTTACACCCGCCTCCAAGCACACACATCCTGTAAGACCCACCCGGCGTCACCTCCTCCAGGGAGCCCTCTCTCCGCATCCTGCCCTCCTTAGAAGCCTGGGCACTCAGGTTTCGTCCCCACGGAGCGATTCACCATGTATGACTTTAGGCCTTTGCACCAACTGCTGCCTGCTACTCGGCCTGTTTCCCAGGGAGAGAGAGCACCCACCAGGGGCTAACGTGAGAGACAGGAGACCATGGTACACAAGTCCCCCCGGAAAAGAAAGCCTTATTTCTCGCCCTGGGTTTGCCCTCCTCTGGGGACACCAAGAGCTCCCATCTCTGCCTCTGGCCAGGCTTCTTTCTCACCAACTTCCTGACTAGGCCCTGCCCTAACTACCAAGGTCCCTGCACTTGGGAAGGAGAACATAGATTTTTCTGAAACTGAATTCATTCATTCTTTTTTTGTGTGTGAGGAAGATTGGCCCTGAGCTAATGTCTGTTGCCAATCTTCCTCTTTTTGTTTGAGGAAGTCTGTTGCTGAGCGAACATCTGTGCCAGTCTTCCTCCATTTTATGTGGGACACTGCCACAACATGGCTTGATGAGCGGTGCTAGCTCCACAATGGGGAGAACCCTGGACTGCCGAAGCAGAGCGCATGAACTTAACCACTACGCCACTGGGCCAGCTCTGAAACGGAATTCTTCAAAAAAAAAAGAAATGAATGGTGAGCGGTGCAGGCTTGGGGCTAGGTGGCCAGGGCATTTGTCAGAGCCTAGACCTTGGAGTAGCCAGATAGAGCTCCTGAGTGGAGCGGACAGGGCAGTAGAGGAGGTGGGACCCCCACTGGCAGGGCAGGGGGCCTGGAGGAGGGGCAGGGGCCCAGAGCCGCCAGTTCTGGCTTCTCATCAGCCTCCTCCAGTGCCCCTCGCGCGCAGCTTGCTGTCAGGAGCTCCCACATGGACACCTTCATGCACCTTGCCCTCCCCGGCCCTCGCTGGCCCAGGGCCCTTAAGGAATAGGACACTGGGGGTACGAAGGGGGTCTGGAGCAGCGTGCAGGGTCCCCGAGTCCATCACATCAGATGGCACTTCTCCTTCCTGCTCTGGCCTCCCCAGGAGTAACGTGAAGGCCAGCCCAGCCGCCCAGGCCACAGGGCCGGATGGGCCGTGAGGATCAAAGGAGATGCTGCCCCCACGTCCTCTGGCAACTGGGACGCCCTCTGCCCGAGAGAGACGAGGAGCATTGTCACCGTGCTCCCTGTCAGGCCCCAGATCCAAGAGCTCCAGCTGAGCCTCCCACAGTCTCAGCAAGCGGAGCACCAACGGCTACACTCTGGGGGGACCTAGGCCCCTCTGGGAGATCATGGGGGTCTGGGCCACAGGTGAGGGGGCGGGAGCCATCAAGGGACCTGGCTCTGAACCTCCAGCCACTCAAGAAAGAGCTGAATCCCCACCGGTCCCATGCTGTCAGCCCTCCTGAGGGCCCTGTCTCTCCCCTTCACTCGCCAGACCCTCCCACCACCTCTGTGAGCTCAGAGGGTCTATCCTCTTTTATAGAAAAGGAAATAGGCCCAGAGAGGGGGAGCTGACTTTCTGTGGTCACACAGCATGTCCCATCCTTCTATATGAGGGAGTCATTCTTTTGACTCTCAGAAAACAGAGACAAGAAAAAGAAGCCAAGGCCCTTTCTTCTGAGACCAGCTGCCTGCTCTCTCCTTAGGATGCTGTCGCCCTTTGAATCATGGAAGAAAGTGAAAGCAAGGCCTCTGTCTCCCTCTGTGTGATCCCGCCAGGGCCAGCCTGGCCCAGCCCATGCTCAGCTGGGCCCCGGAGGTGGATGCCAATCCTTTGCTCTCCAGCCCACTGGGGAGCCCACAGACAGGCTTCTGTGTGCTGAGCTGGCCCTCAGCGAGCCTGGACTCTAGACTCTGCTCTGCCCACTTCGGCTGATCCTCTGTTAGGGCCAGCCAGGGTCCCCTCCTCTTTTGACAAGAGTCCTAGGCCCTGCGAAGATGCAGAGCCTCCTGCAGGGCTCCTCTCCTCCATTTGAGCAGAATGATGAGGGTGCCCACCTCCCCCTAGAGCCTAGGGACAGGTCTGGGAGACAGGGGCCACCCTGCAACCCAGCTCTGCAAAGTCACAGTGGGTGGCAGGCCACGTTTCTTCCCAGGCCCAGGCCCACTCGTCGTGTGGCCCTGAAGGCTGGCTCCCTTCTCTGAGCCTCATTTTTCCATCCGGAAGATGAGAGGAAATGACCTTGAAGGGCCCCCTCGGGTCTGACACTCAGTTTCCATCGGCTCATGGAGCCTGCTCCTCCCCCGCTGGGGCGCCTCAGCCTGCGTGCGGCGCTGTGGCCTGCTCTGCAGGTAGGCACCCCACCTGTCCGGGAGACTCGCCATGGGATGCGGCTGCCCAGTCCTCTGAGACTCCCCTCAGGGCCTGCAGCCGCCCAGGATGTGGGACCCAGCTCTGAGATGGTGGGGAAAGGAGGCCCCCAGGGCCCCCAGCAGACAAAGGCACCTCCTAGGGTGGGTGGAGGGCAAGCTAAGTAAACTCAGCCTCAGGGAAAGTTCTCGTTTACACAATACACGGCTTCATGAAGTCACTTCACAAAGGATTCACCGTGAAAACCCCTTCCACCAGCCATCCCGGAGTGCACAGGCTGTCTCCAAGACTATGAGGCCTTGGTGACCTTAGGAGCACAGAATTTGCATGTAAGTCCAAGTGACTCACTGTGGCATTTGGCCAAGTCACTTCCCCTCTCTGGGTCATTTTCCTAATGTGCAAACTGTGAGGCCAGCCCGGAGGAGCTGGAGGAAGGCGGCAGGCGGGCTTCTCGCTCTGAGGTCCTGTGGTTTCCCGTGATGCTCTGCCCCGCCCCAGCATCGTGCTGTGTAAAGAACAGCCCAGATGCAACTGCCCAGGCCCAGGCCACACATATCTGTCAACAGCCAAAGCACAGTAGGCTCAGTCTCCCGGGGGGTGGGGCCCGGTGCCCTGTGCCCTGTGCCCATGGGGATCAGCTAGATTGGCATGCTTGCTGGCCGCGTGCCAAGCCCTGGGCAGCCCCAGACTGAGCCCGGTGGCCCCGTCCTCAGCTGCACATGCTGACACCACAGACCCACCACAGACACCACCCTGGCCCCAGGCTCACCCTGACCCCGGGCACAGATCAGACCCTGGCACAGCAGCCCTTTCAGAGATGTAAGCGCAGCACGAGGCGTGCGGGGGGAGAGGATGTGGGGCAGCCCCACCCTGCCCACCAGCTCACCGGAGTGGGATGCGGATGGCGATGTAGCGGTCAATGGCGATGGCCAGGAGGCTGAAGATGGAGCTCTGCGTGAGGACCAGCACGAAGCAGGCGATGAAGAGGCAGCCGTGGCAGGCGGCACAGAACCCTGTGCTGATGGTGATGGCGAAGGGGATGGCAAGGACCCCCACAGCGATGTCGGCCGCTGCCAGTGACACCACAAAGTAGTTGGTGACGTTCTGCAGGTTGCTGTTCAGCCACACGGCCCAGCACACCAGCATGTTGCCCAGGATGGCCAGCAGAGCGATGGCCAGCTCCACCATGATGTACACCAAGGAGCCCACGGTGGGCATGGCTGCAGACGGGCAGGGTCAGCAAGGACGCGGGCCAGGCCAGCTCACGGTCCATAGCTGCAGCGCAGCCGGCCCTGCCCAGGCCCCGGAGCCCCCTTCTCACAGGAGCCAAGAGCGTCCGTGCTGGGGAGTGGGGGGCTCCCCAAGGGTTTTTTCACAGCCAACTCCGAGTCTCCAGAAACCAGGCCCTCTCTAGCGGCTCCCGCGGCATCTTGGCTCAGCTCAGCGTCAGCACCCGGGGCACCTGCCAAGGGAGAAGCCTCGTGAGGAGCTGGACCACTGGCAGAGGGGCCCAGCGGAGGCTCCCAGCCCTCCACCAGCTCCCTGCGCCCTCCCCGCAGGCCAGGTGCCAGCCTGAGGACAACCCGCCGGACCGCCTCCCCGCCCCGGACTCAGAGGACCAGGGACCAGGCCCAGTCTCTGTTTTTTTTCTGGGGAGCTTCCAAAGTTCAGTCACTCTCGTCAGTCCCCCATGCTCAGCTTCTCAAGCCTTCTGTGACAGCCCTGCCAGTCTCCTGGGTCCCTGAGCTCACGGCCGCCCCCACGACCCTCCTAGAAAGGCCTGCTCACCTCTCAAGCTCGCCCAGGCCCACCTACCCTCTCTCAGCCTCAGTCTGCTGCATCCCCGAGAGCTCTCCTCGAGAACTACCAGCACCTACCTACGCTGCCCAGTTAAGGCACAGGCCAAGACCCCCAGAGCTCCGATCTGGAAGAACCTGGGGGCTGCCTGGTCCTGTCGCCCAGTGCTGGCAGGTAAGCCCCTTGCCCTTTCTGGTGGGGCTGCACTGGGTGGCGGAGCAGGCACAAAGGGAGCCCGGCCCCTGGCAGCCCCGCCAGCTGACTGTGCTTCTGGGCGGGGCGGCCCCCTCCCCTCCTCCTCCCACAGCTCCCCAGCCTGCTCTTCTGCCTGCCTGATGCCGGGACAGACTGAATTCAGTTGCTGCTGGGCATAAAGCAGGGGGCTCCGCCAGGACTTGCTGAGGGACTGCAGGCACTGGGCCTCAGTTTCCCCATTGATACAGTGAGGAGGCTGGAACCCAGAGAGCCTCTGGGGGTCATTTCAGCTCTCACCCATGATTCTACAAGAAGGAAATAAACAGATTTGAAAGGGTTTCCCCAGAGTCAAAATGCCATAGAAATGTAAGGAATTATTGACCCCCGCAGAAGCAGAAGCAGGAGCAGAGGTCTTGGTCTCCCCCAAACCCCCAGTGTTCCCCCTTGAGCTTGTGAAATGGTCTCCATGCCTCCTGCCAGCCAGGGCCTTTCCCCATCACCTCGGCCCCTACCTTGTCATGCTCACGTGTGCTGCCCAGGCTGGCCCCACGCCAAGTCCACCCCGCTCCAGGCCCAGGTGCTCGTGGGGCCCCAGGCGTGCGTGGCAGCGGCTGCCGCCCGCCCAGGGACCAGAGGCCCCACACTGCCTTTCAGCCACCGCACGTGGGCTCAGGGCCTGCGTCCCCACTCTCTCCTCCAGGACACGAGAGATCCAGCGGGACTGGCATCGCTGGGAGGAGGTTGCTCGGGGTTCCTGGCCATGTTCAAAGGGTTGGGTTCCCTCACCCTGTCCAGACGGTGATGGAGGGCTGCAAAGTGAACCCCAAGTTTCCTTCTAACTCCAATGTGCCTCAGTGGCTGGAGCTAGGCGGGCGTGGGCTGCAGCCACACCCAAGGGGCGTGTTCTGTGCCCACCAGGAGGCTCAGAGTCTAGCGCCAACACCAGGGAGCAGGGGGAGAGAGAAGAGGAGGCCAAGCCCCTGAGAAGCAAAGGGGTTTCCGCGGCCAGTGGCAGGGGCGGCGGGCTTCTGCCAGTTCCGGCAGGGGCCCAGCACCAAGAGCCGTGAACAGGTCCCACCCAGGCCCTGTCACACATGGGGCACCTGCCAGCTGCTCACAAAGCATGTCACTGGCAGAGGCAGGCCAGACCAAGTCTCCGAGTGCCATCCCTGGCCACACAGAGTGTCCCTCTGTGCTCCCAGCCTGCAGCCCAGAGCACAGCTCACCAGGGGCCCCCCAACTGCAGAGGCTGTGTGTCCAGGGTCCTGTCCCCATTCTACAGAAGGGAAATGACAGGCCCAGGCCTGCCTCCACCCTGGGGGCCTCCTAGGCCCAGCAGCAGCAGCAGGTCACTGTCCAGTCAGGCCTGGCCAGGCCCAGCGAGCCCCAGGGACCCGCCCTGCCTCCCACCACCAGAGAGCAGCCCACCTTCCTCCTCATGCCTGCTGTCCTTCGTGCCCCGGCAACGGCCTCAATAGGGGAATCTGCACCGAGAAGCACCGCAGCCTCTGCCAGGCTGACCAGCCCAGGCGAGAAGCCTGACTCCACCCCAGAGCATCGTCTGGGGTCAGAGGGCCCTGCCCGGGAGTGGACATGTGGAACCACCAAAGATCCTCCTGACCCGCTGCCCAGAGCCCTGCTGATGGGTCACACTCCAGCACCCGCCTGGGAAGCGGGCTGAGTCCACGAGAGCCGGATGCCAGCGTGGAAGGGCCTTCGAGGGCCTAACCCAGCCCTGCGTGCAGTGCGGCTCTCCCGGCATCCCCAGCGCCTGCCTGTGCACCCCGGTCCGCAGGGTCCCCCCGCCTCCTTCTGTGCTGTGGGCTCCCCTGTCACCCGGTACCAGCGCCCCTCCTGACTAAACCGAAGTCGCCTTTGCTGTCCACCAGGCCTGGGCCCTCCCCGTGTCGCTGGATGCAGTGGAGCCCCTGCCCAGGTCGGCCCTGCAAGGAGCTCAGCGCCTAAAAGCTGCCTCCCTGCCTGTCGGCTCCCCGCTGCCCTTCCAGCAGTGCTCCTGCAGGCTCCCCCAGTCGCCAGCGTGCCCCGGGGTGAGGCTCCCTGGCCCCACAGGCAACCTGGGCACCTGGCAAACCAGACTCTCCCAGCCTGGAGCAGAGCAGGCAGTGGAGTGGGCGGCACCTCGGGGACGACAGGGCGCTGCCTCCCACCCGGCTCCTCTGCCGGAAGGTTGGGGGCTTCCCAGCTGCGGGCCAGCAAATCGGCCCAGGGGTGGGGCGCCACGACTCATGGCCTTTGCCGGAGTGTAAAAGCTCCCGTTATGGCTGATTTCAAGCTACTAATGTGTCACTGACAGGAACTGGGAGTCAAAGCACACAGTCAGCTCACAAGAGCCCGTGCCACTGGGCTCCAGCCACCACGGAGCCACCAGACACTTCGCTCTCCAGGAGCTCTCTGCCCGGACGCCAGCACCCTACTCCAGGCTCTCAAATAGCTGTGCGGCCTGCTTGGGAGCTCGAGAAATGAGGGCGCAGGGGCGCCGGGGTTCAGCTGTAGCCCCAAGAACCCCATTTTACAGCTGAGGAAGCCAAGGCCCAAAGAGGTTAATGACCTCTGCCAACCTTACCGTGAGCATTAAGGGCGGACCAGAGCAGGGGGAGATGCCCATGCAACCACAGCCACAGGAAGATTTCCCGGGGCCTCCCAGTCCCTCTCTGCTTCTCTCCCTTCAGAGGCCTCCAAGAGCCACAGGAAGGTAGAGGCCCAGGGGGAGGGGGCCAGGGGCGGGGCTGGGATCTGGCAATTTCCTATCCCTCTCCGTCGGCTCTGTCTATCTAATTAATCCTTTAGTCATCTGTTGCTAGCCAGGGAGGGAAATTAAATATTAATAACGTAATACTTCCCTGTGATTGTCCCTTGTTGGGGACAGGGCAGAGGGCAGAAGCTGGCCCATACAAACTAGGGACACAGCTGGGGAACAAGCATGGTGAGTCTTGAAAGGACAACCCCATAGGATTTCCCGCACTCAGACCCAAAACTGCTACTTCTTCTTGCCTTTCTCCTCACCTGCACCAGCCAGACCACTTTAATTAAAACTCTACTTAATCAAAACCCGTGTATTTCCTGGCCCACCTCTGGCTCCTTGTACGTCAGACTAGCGAGGCTTTCTATGCACACGCCCAGATGGCGGCCGTACCGCCCGGAGCCTGCTGGACAGAGGTGCCCGCCAGCTCCCAGACAGGACCCGGCACACCTGCTCCTGGGTGTGGCCGAGGGCCAGGCTCCGAGCCCGTGTAGGGACTTAGACCTGCCGCAGCCGCGGCTTCCAGAACGCCGGCCTGAGAATCCTCCACTACGTTCTCGTAGCACTTGTTTCCCGAACACCTACTCTGTGCCAGGCAGCATCCCAACTGCTGGACCACGGGGAGCTCTGTAAGCAATCGCATCCAAAATATGGAGATTAACTCACTCCAGAACAGGTGAAGGTAATAATCTAAAGATGATTTTCAAAGACATTTAGGATCTTGAAAGAGATAAAGAAAGGAACTGCATCCATAAACAAGAATGAGAACTTAGGGATCGGCTGGCAGAAACAAAATAAGAACAGGCAAATATGGACAAGAAATAATATCGAATCCTGGAAATGGAAAAGAGAGGGGTTGAGAGAGAGAACACAGTCGATGTGGCGCGCTTGAGGTGTGCACACAGTCGAAGCGACAGTCGGGCACCTGAAGACAGCAGGAGGAATTCTCACAGAAACCTCACAGAGACAAGTCTCTGAGGAGATGGTTGAGAGCCACGGAGGGGAGATGGAGACATCAGGCTCGTGGGAGCTCAGTCAGAGAGGAGAGGGCAACAAGCAAAGACGAAACAGCTGGCCAGGCAGCTCGGCTCCTGCGCCCACCACAAGCCCTCCACCGGCTCTGCAAGACCGGCTTGTGGAGGGGCCCAGGCCTGGGCACGAGCCTCCCTGACCCCGGGTCCCACCAAGCCCCTCTCCAAACCCATCCCTCGGAGCAGGGCAGGCGTCTGCTAGTGCTGCCCGGCAGCGAGCCACCACCGAGCACTGGCGCCTCTTCCCTCCCTCCCTGCAGGGTGCCAGCGGCTCCCACTTCAGGAACTTGCTGCAGGTTGGGCCCTCCGTACCCAGTGGTGTCCCCTCCCCCACTGCCCCCTCAGGTGTGCAGCTGCCGCTCTCAGCTCCTTGGGGCAGGATGTGGGCAGGGCGGTGCAGAGAGCCAGCTCCTACACTGAGCCTGGCCCCGGAGGGGCCGCCACATCACCAGACCCCCAGGCTCCCAGGGCCTGCCACCGTTCCCTTCTCCCACGGGGCCCAGAATCCCCCTCCCATCCCCACGTGTCCGGGCCAGATGCCAGAGAGGCTGAAGGCCAACCCCCCCAGCCTGAGGTGGCCACTCACCCCCTCACTGGCCACCACAGCCGACACCCCCTCCAAGGGGCCACTCCTCACACAAAGGTGCTGGCTGCCCACCCTGTGGTGGAAGGAGCCCAGACGGGGTCCCACTCCTGCTCCATCCCACTGTCCCTGAGACCCGGAGCAAGAGGCTTCCCGTCCACACCGCGGTTCCGCAAGTGCACTGCTGGCAGTGGTGAGATGCGTGCTGGGCACCCGCGCCTCCCTCAAGAGAGCCCTCCAATAAGGGGATGACAGGCACTGTGGTGCCTGAAGACGGGAATGCGGGAGCTTCTAGATGGCCCTGAGAACACAGACCTTAGCGGGGCTGGGCTGAGACCCTGGCAGAAGGCTGGCCTGTTGAAGGGGCAGTGCCAGGTCCATGGCCCCAGGGGCGCCCCAGAGGGTGACTATACTGAGGACAAGAAGGAGGTGGGCCTGCTTCTGCGGTCTCTGGGATGAAGGTGTGATGATGCATCCCTGAAGGCTGAAGAGACGGGGCAGGAGGGTGACCAGACTGACTCGGGCACAGCCTATGGGCTGGGCCAGGGGCCACACGGCCATGCCACTGCTCCTCGGCCCCTCAGTGGCCCCTTGTGCACGGCTCATGATTTGCAGAGGCCACTGAGGGGCCGGAGGTGAATGCTTGTACGATGGATGGGCAGACAGACACCAGCCCTGGGGGCCTCTGGGCAGGGACCACAGCCCAGCCACCAGGGGAGGCACCAGAGTGGTGCTGCCCGCCTCTCCATGGCGCACTGAGACAGCCTTTCCTCTAGGTGACAGCTGGCCTGGTGGGAGCAGCAGCAGCAGCAGAGGTGGGAGCCACAGAGAGAGTGCGCCAGCCCCTGCCCAGCAACTTCTAAAACAGGCCTGTCCTGCACAAGGGGGTGTGGGCCCAGAGGAATCTGGAAGGCTTCTCAGAGAAGGGGCCATTGGGCCAGACTTGGAGGATGAGGAGGTGAGGGGAGAGATGGGGAGAGATGCCAGGCAAAGACAACAGCCTGTGCAAGGCTCAGAGGCACGTCAGAGAAGGTCTGAGGGGGCCCTGGAAAGCTGGAGCATCTTGCCTTCCCTGGGCACCCCCCTCGCTGGGCTGGAGCGAGGGGCAGCTGCTCTTCCCCTCCATCCAGACCCTTCTGGCCCTGGCAGGATCCCATGGCTTCCACAGCGCAGGGCCCCTCTGCCACTAAGCTGCCCCTTGCCACCACCCAGAGCCCCCAGGCTCTGTTCAGCCGAGCAGTCTCCTGGGGCGTCTCTCTGCACCCCAGCTCTGAGCTCCTGCCCATTCCCCAATTCCCCTCCTCCATCTGGGGCTGTGCAGACCTTCAGGCTCCCACCCTCAGGCACCGCAACCCCACTGCTCCCTCCAACCTCCAGAACACCGGGCAACCCTCCCTTCCGTGGCTGCCAATGCTTTCCTGGGCCCAGACCCCTTCCCTGGGGGCTGGGACTCGCCGTCCCTTTTGTCAACTCAGCACCTGACTCTGGCAGTCTTCTCAGCATCCCTTGACACACACCCCAAAAGCCCTTCTCAGCCCAGCCTGCACGCCTTTGCCATCCGTCTGGCCATCCTTCCCTCGGCTCTCCCGTGTGCCCATCTGAGTTGTGGCAGACAAGACAGACCCCACAAGACGGTGCGATGGCAGTTGCAGCTCCTCCAGGGTAAGGTGGATTGGAAATGAGGCAGGTGACACGGTAGCAGGAGCTACTGCGGGATCTCAGGTCAGCGCTGAAGCCAGCAGGGGCTGTGGCCCGACGCCGCAGGCACCGCCCAGGGGCACCCAGAGGCCCTGACTTTTGCAGGGTGTGATGCCCTGAAGCCAAGTGCGTGCTCCCAGCCCGACTCTAGTCCACGTGTCCCTCTGCGACAGTGATCCCTTGTGGTGTCCTTCGACCCCACAAATCTAACAGCCTCCCTCCAAGGTTCCCCAGCTCAAGACTGACCCTGACTTGTCCTCTGGTCTGCCTCCCCCGCAGCCCCCCAACCAAGGCCTGCCTTTCATTTACTCTCCACCACAACCCCGGATGTGAAGCATTGCTTTTCTCATCATGCTGGTTTCACAGATGAGAAGGCAGATTCACCGGGGCAGTGACTCGCCCAAGGCCGACTAGGGAGTGAGTCAAGACCAGAACCCAGGTTTGGGCATTGAAATATCTAGTCCATTAGGTTGCCCTTGAAGCCAACCATTGCCCTCTTAGGCTGTGGGCTCCCAGGGGGCAGGATCAGGGTGTGGTCGGGACCTGAACTTCACAGCCCAACATGAGGGAGGCAACATGCAAGCCCCGAAAGGCCAGCCAGGACCAGCCTGGCCCAAAGCCTGTCCCCTGCCAGCCATGTCTGGCCACCCTCAGCCTCCCTGAGGCTGTGAACAGGGAAGTTGGCTTAGCCCAGAAACTGATCTGCACTGAGGGGATGGGGATGGAGGGGCAGTGACCCAAGGGACACGAGGACCTGGGAGAGCCAGGAAGACCCCACAGGGCAAGGGCAGAGCAAGGAGGTGTTGACACCACTGCCAGCGGACAAGCCGCAGTGAGGAGCTCCTGCCATGGACCTGCTGAGACCCCGAGATGGGAGTCTGGTGCACAGGGCAGGGGCTCTCCAGCCCACCCAAGGCCTCCAGAACCAGCCACAGCAGGAGGAACGAGCCTCAGCAGCCCCTGAGCCCACAAGGTCCTCCCTGGCCCACTGCGCTCCAAGAGCTCTCCCTCAAGGGCCCCAGGGCCAGGACATCCAGGGGCAGCCCCGCTGGACATGGAAGTGACATGGTGAGTCTCCGGGAGGGTGCAGAGGCTGGGAACCCACCGGAGCTGGACAGCAGAGGCCCAGGGGAGGGCGGGCTGAGCTCCAAACCAGAGGGGCACACAGGCCTGTGGGTGGAATCGGGCCTGGGTGCTGCCAGCGATGGGGAGGGAGAACCGGCTAAAGGGGGCGGCCTAATGGTCCCTAGATGCCAGCCGCAAGCCCGTCCTGGGGAAGGCCGGGAGGGACACCCACCCTCCCGCTTCTCGCTTCTCCCGCCGCAGAGCCCTCGGCCACCCCCTCCTCCCATTGTACAGTGGGGGGAATTAAAGTCTAAAGCGGGATGGCAGTGCCCGGAACGCAGAGCTCTCTGCTCCTCTGGCCGGTGGCCCCCTCCTTCATCCCTCAGGGCCGTCCTGCGCCAAATCCCTCGAGGGCCGCCACCATTCCCGCCATTCCTACCTCAGTCGCGGGGAGCCCGGCAGGCGGCCAGGGCCGGTCCGAAGCGCGCACCCACCCGCCCGGCCTCGGGCCCCTCCTGCGGTGCTTGGTCCGGCTCCCGCCACCACCGTCCGCAGCACGCGCAGGCGGGCAGACTCCCCTTTCTGGCCGCGCCCGGCGCTGGGGCTGCCGCGGTCCGCGCGCCCCCGGAATGCCGGTTCCGCGGCGGCTCCACCTGTGGGGCCCCGTCCCCGGCTCCCACCCGCCGGGCTGCGCCTCTGCGCCCCCAGCCCAGCCCCGCCGGGCGCGCCCGGAAGGTCGCCGAGTACCCCGGGGCCGGCCGTGCGCCCAGACGCACCGACCGACGGTGCCCGCCCGTTACCTGCGGGTCCGGGCGCCGGCTCCGCGCCCCGCCGCTGGGCCGCCGCTCCCGCGCCCCTTCCGGCCGGGCCCGGGGCGGCCAGAGCGTCCGCACGCGGCCCCCGACCGGCTTAGGACGTGCGCCCGCGCCCGGGCCCGCCCTGGCAGCCCCGCCGCCCGCAGGGCTCGGACCCCGGCCCGTGAACTCCTCCCGGGAGGCGGGAAGACGGTCGCAGCGGCGGGGCGCCCCGAAGGGAGGGGACCGAGCCGCCCCTCCCTCCCGGCCCGCAGCCTCCGACGGCCCCCCGCCGCCCGGCCGCCCGCCCGGGACCCTCGGGACCCGCGAGCGGGACCCCGGCTGACCTGCCGCTCGCGCGCCGGCTCCCGCTGTCTCGGCGGCCGCTCGCGCTCCGCTCCGGCCGCTCCGCTCACGGGCTCCCCCTGCAGGCGGCTTCGAGACCCGCGCTGTCCCCGCCCCGCCCCGCCGCGCGGGGAAACCGAGGCCCCGAGGGCGCCAGGGAGGCCGGCGGGGACGCGAGCAGCTGGCCTGCGAGCCTGCCGATACCCACGACGGGGCGAGGCCGCGACAGGCCCGGGCCGCGCCGCCTTCCCCGCCCGCGGCCCCCCAGCGTGCTCTCCGCGCGAGGCTCCCTCAGTCGAGCCACCTCCGCCAGCGCCACACCCCACTCCCTTCGAGGAGCGCCCGTCCCGCCTGGTGAAGCCTTCCGGCCACAGGCCCGCGCTCTCTCCCCTCCAAGTAAGCCCCCAGGGCTGCCCCTGCTGCTCTGTCCTCCGAAGCTCTGCTGGCCCTCATCACCGCAGCTGGGCTGGGTCCGTACCCCTGTGCCATCTCCTCCCCAATGTCCAGTTGTGACCTAGGAAGTCCCCAGTGCCCGTTCCTCCTCTAATCTCTCCATGGCTCCCCAGTTCTTGAAGGATGAAGTCCAGCCTCCTTACCATGGCATTCAAAGCCCTCAGGGACTCCGCTGCCTGTCCCCAGCCTTGCCCTCCCTTCCTGAGTCTTGCCCCAGGCTGGTGGAGGGAGACGTGGAACCTCAGCTCAACCGACACCTCTAAGAAGTGGGCCCAATTTCCAGTGACCCCTCTGCCTTCCCCGCCCTGACTCTGGGCCAAGGCCCCTCCTATTCTTACCACCTCTAGTGCCATCAGGCCCTATTCCACTCCCCTACTTCTCTGAGCATAGGGAGGGGGAGTCGCCTTCTGTACCACAGACTAACCTGGAGTCTCAGCCCCTTGGGCTGGGAGCCTGTCCGGCCCCTGCCTCCCCAGGCCCACGTTCTGGAGACTTCAAATTGGGAACAACCTCACATCCGGCCCCAGCCCAGCCATACAATCGAATCTGGATGGACTAGGAGTAACGGCAATTCCGCACACAGCAGGATGAGCGTGTCAGCCAGCCATGGTGGCCAAGGTCTTGCGGGAACCGCCGCATGCTTGAACTTCCCAGGGCCGGCGGGGTCGCGGTGAGAGGCCCAAGGCAGAGGGGCTCGCCCAGGGCCAGGCTGGCCCTGAGGGCTGAAGCCAGGGTGGGAGCACGTCTCCCACAGCAGCTCTGCATGCCGGGTGGGCAGGAGGTGAGGGCAGGGCCAAGGGGAGCACAGGCGCTTGGCCAGCACGGATGGCCGTCCTGCTGAGAGCGAGAGCCCACCACCTGCCCGGACTCAGCCTCGGTCGCCTGGCAGCCTCCCGGGCTCCTTCCTGAGCCAAAGCCTGGGAGCCCATCCCCATTCGGCCAGCTCAGCTCCCCAGCCCCTTCCTCCTAATGTCCAGTGGGGCCCCCCGAGGCCAAAGGAGGCAGAGGAGGGCCAGCTGGGAGGGGTTAGGACCCCAACTCAAGAAAAACCTGCGACATCATGGAGAAAGGCACGCATGAGACTATTCAAATTGGGACCATCCCTCTGTCCCCGGATGCCTTTCCCATCTTCAATCTGGCCCCGTCTCCCCCTTAACCCCCCATCCCCAGGCCAGGCCTTTGTTGCGCCTCAGCTGGCTTGCTGTCCTCCCCCTTACTCACCTCCATTGAGGGGGGATGGGGGACCAAAGGAGCCCGCCTCATCCTCCCACGGCCCCTGCTCTCTTAGTGAAGGAGCTCCCTGGCCAGGTGGGGACATTGCCCCCGGGACTGCCGGCTGAGTTCACCCTGGTGCTGTGGCTTCCTGCAGGCTTTGAGGGACCCATTGCCTACCTGTAAAATGGTACCATCTTGTTTCTGCCCTGCCACCTCCTGAATCAGACAAGCGGTATGGGGTGGGGGCGCTGCCTGGCCAGGGAACCCTCCCCCCAGGCCCTTGGCTTCCCACCCGTGCTTCTGGGCCATCTCGGAGCAAACTCCTCCTACAGCAGGGACAAAACGCTCCTGCCCACACCTGTTGGGCCCATATTCATTCAAGTCCTCACCCAACAAACATGCAAGGAACAGCTTGTCTTGAGAGTCACCTGGGGCCCAAAGTGATTATGGGGTTCATGGGGCAGAGATCAACACTCAGCCAATCCCGGGGGTCACTATTGTCCCCTAATCCCTAGCCCCCCCTAATTCTCTCCCCTGCCAATTCCATTCTGGGGCCCAGCACCCTTCCCACTCAGACCTCCCCTCATGTGGCCTGGCTGGCACACACCTGTCCCCACACAGGCTGGGCCCCACAGCTGGGACTGAAGGCTTCATTTCTGCAGCTGGTCCTCAGGGCCAGAGTGCCAGCGCCCTCAGAGTTCACCCCTGGGGCTCAGTGTGGGGGCCCCAGGCCTGGGGTAGCTGTGTCCTCAAGCCAGCGGTGGTCAGGCAGGGCCCTGGAACCCACCCGCCCTCGAGGCAGTGCCAGGTCCCGAGTCCTCCCCTCCTGCCTGTGAGAGCTGCTGCATTGGTCCCGTGTCATCCTGTTCCTTTGTCCAGGTCTCCAGGGAAGCCATTGCCCAGAGACAGCACACACTGGGGACCCTCCAGTTCAGCAATGACAGGAAGCAGGCACAGGGGAGAGCTGTTCACAAACTCTGCCTCTGCCACGGAGCGGACGTGCTCATGGGTGACCCACACTTCTCCTCCAGGCCCCCCTGGGGGACCCTCTGCTGCTGCGCCCCACATGAGGGGCCTGTGCTTCCCCTGCGCCCCACCTCACTCCTCAAGCGTCAGGCCACGGGCGGGGGAGGCCCCTGTCCAGGTCCCTGCACCTGGGAGCCCTGCAGGCCTGAGGCTGGGCACGGGCCCACTGCTCCTCAGCAGGCACAGGGACGGCCCTGGCACCCCCCCTTCTACCTCTGGGCCTCGGTTTCCCTGCAGCCCCAGGCGGGCTTTGAAGGCTATGGCACCCACCCTTCCTTCCGTCCAGGCCCAGGCTCCTCAGGCCAGGCAGCGAGGCCAGCTGGGCTCACTCCTGCTCCAGACTCTGCTCTCAGACTCCCCACCCCGCCCCGCCCCGCCGGCTTTGTTCCTGTCCAGGATGCACCTGGGTGGCCTCTGGCCCCTGACTGTTTGCTCTGGGGCCAGCTGGGCCACATCAGGGAGAAAGAAATGTCAGACCTAGGACAAAGCACCTGGAACCAAGCAGGGCACCCCGAGGTACTCGCCGGCTTCTCCTCCAAAGGGGAGGGGCACCGTACACTTTGGGGCTCTGAACTGAGGAAGTGGGGGGGCCCTCACAGGGCTCCAGTTTATGCTCAGACTAAGGCAGGCCCTGAGCAGCAGAATCACGCCAGAGGAAGTCCCCCGAGCCGCCCACAGCCACGGCAGCCGCAGGAGCAGACCCCACCCCTCTGCCAGCCCAGCCCCCAGAAGATGCTTCAGCCCATGCCAGCTCCTGGGTGTCAAACAGCAACCCTCCTAGGAACCCCGTGCCTCTGAGCTGATCTGAGCATATCGGGTAGATGTGGAAACTGAGGCCTAGACAGGGTGGGGACTTGTCCTGGGCTCCACAGTGGGCAGAGACAGCCCTTTGCATGCCAGGGCCTGACACTCATCACCCTAAGAATGGCCAGACGCCCAGCCACCAGCATGTAGCATCTGCCAGAATATCAAACTGGCCACCCCCTCCCCACTGTCCCTGTGCCCCCAGCCTAATGCCCCTCTCCCCCAGGCACCCCTCTACCCGACCTGACAGAGAGCAGAACGCCTGGTAACCAGGTCCAGGAGGGGCCCTTCTTGGTGTCACCATTTTGCAAAAGTGGAACAGCCCCAGCCCATCACAAGTGCTGGCAGACCTGAGGGGGCCCTGGGTGTCTCGACTGCCCGCCCACAACCTGCTTCCCGCCTGGTAGGTGCTGGTGACGTGCCGTCCTGTGCTCTTCCCGGGCCCTCTGGCTCTGCCTCTTCCTAGGCCTGCAGGCCCCCTCTCGGAACCCCAAATCACACACACTCGGTAATGGAGACGTCCTCCAGGGGCGGCTGGGCCTTCCCTTGCTCAGGCTGTGCCTGCTCACTCTCCACCCGACACCCCAAGCCCCCAGCTCCTGGCCCTTCCCCACACAGCTTGCTCCTCCGCATGCTCACAGCCCGAGGGGGGCCAGCTGGGCCCAGGGGGCCTGGAGCCTTGTCCTCCTGGCCCCAGCCTGCTTCCTGCACAGATGACCAGCTGCGGCCCAGCAGAGTCCTGACCTGCCAGGGTCAGAGCTCCGGCCAGCACTTTCTCAGCAACTCGGGGCCCTGACTAGAATCCACCCCCTCACCCACCTGGCACAGACCACGGTGCCTGCAAGCCCTAGACCCCATATGTCTGCCCTGTCCTCCACGTAAGAGACAACCTCAAACAGAACCCAGGCCAACCTAAGGCTGCAGGAAGTGCAGCCCTGTGAGGCAGGGGCCAGAGAGCTGGCCACTGTGCCACCAGGACACAGCCACCTGGGTCCAGGACCCCAGTCCCAGAAGGCTGTGGATGGAGGGGTGTGGCATCCATTCTGGATTTCTCCTTTCTCCTAGGAAACTCTGTTTTCTTGCTTCCACCCATCAAAGCCACCCCCCAAAGAGGTTCTAGAACCTTCCCTAAGTCAAGGTGGAAGTGATTCCCTTCTCAGAGGTGCTGCCCTGGGACGGGCAGAGCAAGTGCCAAGTTGAGAGAAGCAGCGCCCTTGGGCTGGCCAGGTGTCCCCAGTCGCCGAAGGCCCAGCGGGGCAGAGGAGCCTCGTGGACCCCACAGGCGCTGAGCAGGTTAGGAAGTGGGGCTGCCATGACCGGCAGGAGAGATTGCTTTGGGGAGGGCACCCCCACACCTGAGAGGCAGAGGTAGAGAGGGCTAGTGTCACCCCCACTGCTCCTGTGGCTCCAGAGTCCCAGGTGGAGTCACCCCCCGTCGCTGTGATCAGTGTCCACTAAGCACAGGGCCCTATGTGCCTGTTATAGCGGCCTTGCGCTGCCCACAGCAGAGCAACTCCAGATCCTACAGCGGAGGATACGAGCTGTGTCCAGTGACAGACCAGGCCCCACTGCTGCTGAATGGGGAGTGAGAGCCATGCCTGGTCCTGGCGCAGCCCTGCCCATGCCCAGGC